GCGGTTCGCAGACGCGGGCAGAGGCGGAAGGCCGTGCCTTCCGCAGGGCTTTATCCTGTTTCGGAAGCGCGGGTAAATGCATTTTCTTATTCCTAGGCAGGATCCGCCCCGCGTTCAGTTCCGGCTGGGGCTTTGTGCGGCGGCATCGTCCGGCGTCTAACGCGGCGTTTGGCGTCACCGCTCTCGGCGTTTGCAGCCCGAGTTCTTAAATTGCTGTCACCGTCAGCTGCCGCCAACCAGGCTGGAGCTACTTTTTAAAGAAGAGCTGGGGGCAGACCTCTGAAAAGCGAGTAATTTTGGCTGGGGAGGGAACATCATCACAGAAGGTGACAAAAATGTACAGGTTACCTAGCAGGCTTTTTATTAGTAGTATTTTATTGGATTTGAAAATTGATTTCTCTTGGTGTGATTCCTGGAAATAATGTCGTCTTCTGGTGACTTCACAGAATCACAGAATCGTAAGGGTTGGAAGGGACCTCAGGAGATCATCTAGTCCAACCCCCCTGCTAAAGCAGGCTCACCTAGAGCATGCTACACAGGACTTCATCCAGGCGGGCTTTGAATATCTCCAGAGAAGGAGACTCCACAACCTCCCTGGGCAGCCTGTTCCAGTGCTCTGCCACCCTCAGAGTGAAGAAGTTCTTCCTCATATTCAACTGAAACCTCTCGTGTTTCAGTTAGCATCCATTGCCCCTAGTCCTGTCGCTGGACACCACTGCAAACAGACTGCTTCCGTCCTCTTGACTTCCGCCCTTAAGATATTTGTATGTATTGATGAGGTCCCCTCTCAGTCTTCTCTTCTTCAGGCTGAACAAGCCCAACTCTCTCAGCCTTTCCTCGTAGGGGAGATGCTCCAGTCCCTTTATCATCCTAGTAGCTCTCCTCTGGACTCTTTCTAGGACTTACATGAGTTTATTCCATAGCAGAGCACTCCAGTTTGTAACCGGAATAAACTACTGTATCAGTAAATAAAGACTTTTCAAAATAAATTGTTCATCCTAGAAATGAAAGCCAGTGGTGCTTTTGGGCTGAAAGAACTAATTAAAAATAATCCCTCAGTGGGCCTCTCCTTTTCCTCACAACAGCCAGCTATATTTCATCACCTTTTGTTCCCTTTTGGGCTTTCTTCACTTCGTATTTTCCCATAGGTTGTCTCTCTAACCTTCCCATTCGCATGAAAGATTTTTCTACTTTCGTCTTACCTTCTCAGCAGACCGATGCCCCAGACTGGTCTCTTCTTCTAGGGACAGTCTTCACAGTCAGCTTCTTTCCCTTTTAATTCCTTTTGCTGTATGATGTCCTTCTTACCTGATTAAAGGCCGTTGTCATATTTCTCAGCCGTCTTCTTTGGAATAAATAATCGCAAGTCCCAGGGTTCTCTCTGTTAGTCATGTTTTCTGTGATTTCATTAATTCCTGTTACCCTTCTCTGAACTCTTAATTAGCCCTCGCCTTTCTTCATTGACAGTGTCTGTAGGTGGATAGACTACATCAGGGAAAGCCACCTTAGTGTATTCTACAACAGAATTACTGCATATTTTCCTGCATGTCCTTCACTTTCTTCTTGCCAACCACTGATGGAAAAACAATCGCTTCTTATAACTGTTCCTGGATTTGCTTTTTGCCCATTTAGCAAGCCAAACTGCTTCAGCACAGGCTCAGACAAATGCCGGAGCCAGGATGAAAGCGTGTGGCCAGCAGCACTGGTTTATGAGTGTTTGTGTCTGCATGTGGCAAAGCAGGTGGGATCTTCCCTTTTGGCAACAGCAAGCCGTGGAATCAGGTCACCTACCTCATGAAAATTTATCCTTAGACATTCTCTCCCTGCCCTTGCCTGACTTTTATCTTTATGTTACAGGTATTAACTGTGCCAAGAGCCTCATCACCATTAGCCTTTTCCAGTGAAGAAATTAAAAATAAAAGGGGGGGGGGGGGGGGGGAAAAAAAAGAAGAAGAGAGAAAAAAGACATTAAAAAGACATTAGGACCTCCTTGGTCTTCTCAGCTTCATTTGTTTTGCAGCACACCAAGTTTTTCTCTGATCTTTGTACCACCACCAAAGACTTTTCTCATTACACTTCCATGGCCTTGCCTAGCTGTACCTCATCTCATGCATTTGCC